CACTTAGCATAATGGCTATGTCGCTGAACTCCCATGTAATCGACCGTGGTTTGAGTCCCGGACCTGGTGGCTTAAACTTATGCTGGGCACGTGTGCATGCATGCCCAAGATCCTGAGAGAAGAAAGGAGGAGAGGGACTGTGGTGTGGCCATTCCCCTTGAGGGGTGATTTCTCACTATCTGTCTCTATGTCTCTCTATATCTTTCTGGTGAGCACACATGCCCTATAGCAAAAACCTCTCAAAACAAAACAAAACAAAAAAGAACCTTATATCCTATATGTTGGTCACAATATACTATTGGTCTACTTTGCTATCCCACAGTAATGCCTCAATGAAATCTTCAAGATGTCAAAACATTATGAAAGTAAAATTGGGCTGAGCAGGGTGGTGCAGGTGGAGGGGTGCCAGTACATGACACTAGACCCATATGGGAGGCCCCTGGGTCCATCTGAATTTACTAGGCACACCCACAGGTACATGTATATCCTGGCAGCTGGACAACTGGTTGTCAGGTGAGGTGGGATGTGCTATAGTGTGATGAGATCCTGCCAAGATACCTGTATTTTTCCTTTTCAGTAAATAAACTTCTTAAAAAATTTTTTAAGAATTATTTTATTTAACTTTACTTATTATTATTATTATTTTCCAGTTTGATCATACAGAGAGAGAGAGAGGGGGAAAGTGAGAAAGCAAGCCACCAGGTCCAGGACTCAAACCGTATTTGGCCATGTGGGAGCCCAGCATCTTTAAACACCAGGCCACCTGCCAGTCCCCAAACTTAAAATTTTTTAAATTAAAATAAGTTTTTAAGTCATTTAGGAAATCATGTCTTAAATAATAGGGAAGAAGAAATTTCAAAAAATGTCCTGCCTTGTTAGCACAGTAGATAAGCGTTGGGCATGGAGAATGAGATCCTGCCGGACTGCCCACAGGCTGAATCCCAGCCACAGCAGCTTGAAAAACATGCCACGTGTGTGTGTGTGTGTGTGTGTGTGTGTGTGTGTGTGTGTGTGAAAAATCCCAAAATCCTGAAAGGATAGAGACATGGAGGAAAAGTATCATAGCGTGACCAATCTCACTGGGGGTGCTTTCTCTCTCTCTTTTTCACTGACAGAGAGAGCACACATGCCCTCTGGCAATAAATTTTTTTAAAAAAATTATTTTGCCTTTACCTTAAAAGTTTTCTGAGAAAGGGGGTCAGCACAGTCCAGAATGTTGGCTCTGAGAGCCTACTTGGTGGTCCCCCTACTTCCTGGGATGCACAGCTGTGGACAAGTTTTTAATCTCCCTAAACTTAACAACTGTTATGGACAACAATGTTATATATATATAACAATATTATGGACATTTTTACTGACTAAATGACATGCTAATTTTTGTCAATAAATTGAACGTGTTATTTTAAAAATCTCTATTAAAGGGAATCAGAGTATTACCCCTCCCCCACAAAACGCATACCCTCTGTCATACTGAATCAATGTGTCATGATAGAGGGTGTGCATGTGTGAGACAGAGAGATCTGACCATGCCTAGAGGTCCCTTTCCCTAGTCCTCCTCCTCATAAGGCTCTTGGGCACAAATGCACATACTTGGCATGTTTTCAAGTTATCCCAAATGCACGACTGGCCTTGTGGCTTCCAGCTCTTCATTTCAGTTTGCTACCAACTACACTACCAGGCTTTGCCTTTGAGTCAAGTTCTCATGTAAGGTAAATTATCACTGCGGATTATCATTATGATTACATTTATGATCATATATTCCAAAACATGGCATTATTTATTACCATAGTTCTCATAAAAAGGGGGGTAACTAAAAACTACAAATGCTGTTAAGTTGGTGATTAGAACATGAAGAAGGAATGAAATAGTAAGACACAGAGGTTGGGTTTGCCTTTTGTTCCAGCTACAGTGACTAGTAGAAACACCATTTGGATAAGAGAAGCTAGAAAGCAGAGAACCTAGTAGAAAGTGGGGGGACAAGGCAGGCCAGATCTGCCTCTTCTCTAAAGATGATGTAAACCTGGAGACTTGGTTGTAGAGAGATATTTGGGTAATGTGTAGTTTAACTTCAGCTATTCTCTGTCCTTCAGAAGCACTTCAAACTTGAGCCACTTGAAGTGCTCACAAAATATTACCTAATGACACCTGAAAACAATTTTTTTTTTGGAGAGTTTTTTTTTCGCTATAGGGCACGTGCGCTCGCCAGACAGAGAGAGACATAGAGACAGAAAGCGAGAAATCATCCCCCAGGGGGGATGGTCACGCCACAATCCCTTCTCCTCCATTCTCCTCTCGGGATCTTGGGCACGCACGCACACGCACCCGGCGTGAGTTTTAAGCCACCGGGTCCGGGATGTGAACCACGGTCGACTACGTGGGAGTCCAGCGACATAGCCATTACACTAACTGCTGGTTCCCAGACACCTGAAAAAATTTAAAAACATGTAAGAAAGCTATGATTCCCACCACTGCCCACTCGAACAATTTCATTACAAGGAAGGATCCAGGTTAAGAAATAGGGGCTATGTCTAAACTATTGGGCCTTCAGAAAATTCATGGCAATTTTTGCATAGAAAATATGTCATGACTTTTCTGAAGACCCAATATCCTAAAAAAGTTTATTTTAAGGAACAACATAATAAATAGTCACCACTCTTTTAAAGTGGTTTTTAAGTTGATTTATTTCCTCAATAAGCAAGACAGAGATAGAGAAGCAGCACCTTCGAACAGGGCTGGACACTGCAATGCACCCCAGCTTCGGCAGGCTCCAAAGCATGAGCATGTACCTACAATACCCAGGGCAGTCTCTAGAAGTGGATCTGGAACCTTCCCATATAGGTCATCCTCGTGGAATGTTGCACATGACCATAGCGCCACCATTCATCTCCCTTTGCATATTTTTAAGCAAACATCTATTTGTATAATGAAAATAAACTTCAGTCTAAGCAGTGAAAAACTAAACAGGAATTGAACCACCTTAATACACAAATTTAAATCTTGTAGTCTAACAAATGCTCAAGCATTCGACTTGAGCAGAATGTAGAATGTAGAATGTAGAAAGTAATACAGATTTAGACTTACTCTAGGAATTCAGTGATGTATTTCTGACTACATTTTGACCAGGTCCAAGGATTCGAGTGGTAATTTAAAGTCGGGGCCATGACATGATACTGATGTTTCATACCAGATTCTTTACATTTAAAACTATCATCGTGTGGAGCATTAAACCTAAAAATAAACATAAACATGTAAAACTAAATATTGAAAGTTATACATAATATCAGTAACAGATCTCTTAAATTTATATTACTTATAATGAATAACATAGATAGATCCAGTTACATCAGATTTTGTACTCTCAGAACCAGCAGCTGGCATAATGGCTATGTCGCTGGACTCCCATGTAGTAGACTGCGGTTTGAGTCCTGGACCCAGTGGCTTAAACTCACACCGGGCACATGTACATGCGTGCCCAAGATCCCAAGAGGAGAATGGAAGAGAAGAATGGGTTGCGGCGTGGCCATCCTCCCTGGGGGATGATTTCTTGCTTTTTGTCTCTCTCTGTCTTTCTGGTAGGTGCACGCACCCTATAGCAAAAACCTCAAAAAAAAAAAAAAGTTGTACTCTTGATCTTGCCATTAGGCACTGTAATGTTCGTATTCAGAGGTGCATGGTTTTTATGAAGCACTAGATTAATTAGTAGCACAGTCTGTTTTTTTGGCATCTAACAGTAAATACGTGGATTCTGGCTCACTTCATCACAGTATGGGCATAGCATTCACCTAAAAGTGTCCATAGGTGTCATCATGCATATCTTAGGAGAGATGCGTGGATGCAGATTAGGTAAAGGTGATACCAATGTCATTGCTAACACATTAAAAGGACTTCTATGATTTCTAATTCCATATTATTCTACAGGATCCATTATTTTATATGAAACAGCCTAAGTACTGCTTCTGGTCTCCAACTAATACATGATGATTGACAGACCTTGAATAAAAACGCTCCTAAAGAGCAGTCAGATCTTAGAAAGAGCAAAGGTCAACCACAGGTCCTATGTGTTCTTTAAAGGGTTTAAGGAGGAACACTGCAGCCACCTTATTCAGGTCCTTACTTGCTAAAAATTGTATTTTCATCAACAACTTTTACTTGTTAAATTTTTTTGAGAGTTTTTTTTTTTTTTTTTTTTGCTATAGGGCACGTGCACTCACCAGACAGAGAGACAGAAAGCGAGAAATCACCCTCCAGGGGGATGGCCATGCCGCAGTCCCTTCTCCTCCATTCTCCTCTCGGGATCTTGGACACGCACGCACATGCACCCAGCGTGAGTTTTAAGCCACCAGGTCCGAGACGCGAACCACGGTCAACTACATGGGAATCTAGCGGCATAGCCATTACGCTAACTACTGGTCCCTTTACTTGTTAAATTTTAATTAAACTACTTACCCATATTCAAGAAATACCTAAAGAGTTACCAAAGGGGGTAATACATATCTAAAGTGGATGACAAAAGTGGTACTCTCTACAAGAACAGTCTTCTGCTAGCCAGCAGCCTTAGAAACCAGGGATAGGACTTTCCAGATGTTGCTGCACTGTTCCTACAGTCCTTGAGCATTCTCCTCATCCTACACCCCACTTCACGACAACGTACAAAGCTGAGTGTGCCGTTGACGGGCATGAGATACAACCATGCTAAAAGGGAACTGAAGAGCATCAGTTTACTAGAAATTTTCTCCATTTGAAATTACGCTACATGAATGCTCCAAAGATGTCTCAAGAGATGACCAGGAAAAAAAATGTGGTCAAACTGTGAGGCAACTCTAACCTCAATTCCTTATTATCAGATAATCTTAAAATTCTGGGAGTTCTGGGGGGTATATTTACAATCATTTTGCAGAGGATGAATTTATAGGAATCTCTGTCCTTCTATGGGACCTCTGAGAATATCAAGGGAAATCACAGCCTCCATTCTTAAAACAAATACCCCAGAAAAATTTTTATTAATGTAAGAAGAGAGAAGGGATTTGCAAATTTTTATGAAAGACTATGGAATGTTGGGAAAATATTTTTTAATAATTAAGGAATTTCCATAGGCCACGTCCTCTGCTGGGGCACTGAGCAATAGGGGTAACAAATGGGTAGGTATTACAAGTATTTGGGGGGAGTTCCTCAGAACCAGGAGCCCGTACAGGCCCTCCCATAAGACGGTAAGGACAGTACCTGGTCACGTATAGGATAACAAGGGACAGAGGCCAGAAGTGCTTGTCATGTAATCCAATACAGTACATGAAATAAAAGAATTCCCAAGTTCTAGTTTTCTGCTTAGTCTGTTGATCTGTGCAGCCTGTCTGACCTAACATAGATCACAAAAGAGCCAGAGTTAGCAATTCAGGGATGAAAATTACACTAATAATATTTTATAAAGCAATAGAGCCACTAGTTACTCAAATGGAGATGGAACTGTAGACAGCCTGTGCAACAGTGAGCCCGAAGCCCACTGCTGAGAAGAGAGGAGGAACTTACACGTGCCCAAGCTCATGGGCGATGGTAAAGGCAGCACTGAGTCCGTTCTCTTCACTGATGGAGCAGCTCCTCAAGGGATCACACAGGGTACCCAGTTCTGCCAGGCCTGAAAAAATTCACATTCATGTTTTATAAAAATGGGGAATACAACCCAAATCAGAAAGAATTATATTTTAAATCACGTTTTATCAGAATGGGGAATACCACCCAAATCAGAAAGAATTATATTTTAAATCACTTAACCATTGGCATTAATACATAGAAATAAATAAAGAGTTGGCTGTTAATATTGCATGTACATTTTTATAAGGTGAAAGAAAAAAAAGAAGGATTTGTCTGCAGTTGAAATCATTTGAGCAAATTATTGGATTCTTTTTGTTTTGTTTTGTTTTTGCAATAGGATACTCACACTCACTGGAGAGAGGGGAAGAGAGTAAGAAATCATATGCACTACCACCACCCCCAACCCAGAGGGGCTGGCCACACCACAATCCGTTCTCCTCCATTCTCCTTTCAGGATCTTGAGTATGCATGCACATGTGTCCGGCATGCTTTTCAGGTCGCCAGGTCTGGGACTTGAACCGTGATCAGCTGTGTATGAGTAAAGAGCCTTAACCAGAATGCCACCTGCTGGCTCAATTATTGGATTTTTACTCAAGAAAATACCCAAAACCATGAGATAAATCATTTTTAAAAATACAAGAAATGGCAAAGAATACTTATTACAGGTAAGATGAAGTTTTTAGATGTGTTAGTGTGGGTAACAGAAAAGGCAATAGATATTAACTGGTGATAGAAAAACTAATAAGAGAAGAAAATAGTCCAGAATTCCACGCATCTGTAGTGGTCCTTAAATTATCAGAAGTTTGTGCTACATACAAATATTCACTTATTATATGTAACTAAGTGAGTAAAATTATATTAAGTGTTTAGAAGAGTGCCTGACATTTAATGTATGCTAAATAGAATAAGATATTATCACAACATAAGAACTACTGAGAATACTCAATAATTTTGTAGCACTTCATCAATGGGATATGTATTATATATCAGGATCCACTCATTCCTTTATAAAGAATAATATACAAATGTGTTGTTGAAAGATGAAGGTAGTATGAATCAGCTACATACCAAAGATAGCAATAATGACAATTTATAGAGGGACCAGCAGGTGGCATGGTGGAAAGGTGCTAGATGCCACACAGCCAACTCTGCGGTTTGAGTCCCAGACCCAGTGACTCGAAAAACACACCAGGCACATATTTTTCCCAAGAGAAAGATGCAAGAGATGGGATTAGAACACAGTTATTGCCCCTGATGGGTGGTGATTTCTTACTATCCCTCTGTCACTCTCCAGCAAGCAAGCACACAAATGCTGTGTGGCAAATAAGTAGATAGATAGATAGATAGATAGATAGATAGATAGATAGATAGATAGATAGATAGATAGATGAGAGAGAGAGAGATCTATATCTATAGATACATATTAAGAGAATTAGAAATTCAAAATAAATGTTCATTATAATAATTCACTTTCCATCATCAATCAAGTTAGCTATTAGTTTGTTTAGTTTTTTAATTTAACATAATACCCTGGTTTTGCTATTGCTGCTGTTTAATATTTGGTTGTAAATTTAACTGCTCTCCTATGGCAATTTTTTTTAACAAAAGAGAATAATTTTATATAGACAGATAGATATAATTAGTTTCTTACTATGAAGCTTTTACATTTAGAAATTTCTTAATATATTGTAGACTAGATTTATGTTAGCTACTATTTTAACTCTTCTCCTATGTATTCTTTTATTCGTTAAGGTTAAAAACATGAGACATAACCCAGCATCTAAGATAGATTTCCTAGCAATCAGAATGTTTTTGTTGTGCTTTAAGAGAAATGGAAGTCAAATTGGGAACCTAACAGAGCTGGGAAAAAGTGAAATATGAAAAAGTTCATTAGTCAATGCTTTTTAACAACGGCAACAAAAAGATGTGCTTTCTGATCCCACTGCCCAAAGGTCTTGCTTTAGCATTGTCCCCTCCTCCTCCTAAAAAGACTTTTTCTTCGTTAGAATCAAGACCAAAGGCAAACAAGAAAATAAATATTTTTTTAAAAAAGAAACATTTTTAACAGTCCTCTGTAGAGAATATGAGGGAATTACTCTTTTTCTTAAGATTCTAAAATTCATGCTTGCATGTGCAATTTTTAAGTCAATTCTTTTCGTATATTTCTCCTTTGTCAGAACAAATTAAAGGAGAACATATTTCTTTCATGGATATCTAGCTGCTCCCGTGCCTTCATTCATATTTTCAATCTGCCAACTGGCTCAATTCCCATGTATTCATTTCAGGCCTCTGTAGGTATTTGGAACACAAAACTGACTCCATTACCACCCAAGCTCTATCGTTCATGCTTAAAGGTTTACGCATTCTCAATTGAACTTTTTAGTTACATAACAGGTTTGTGAGCACGTACACTGCATATGCTTAAAGACAAAACTCAAATATTCTGTAAACAGGCAGTGCAACAAAAACTCAAGTAATTGGTTTGCATTATGGCACCAAGCAGCTGATTGCCAATTTGTGTCTAGACTGAAGCTGATTCTGGGTTCTCTAAAAGTTATCTCAGACTAAAGTAGCATAGAACAAATTTGATATAGGGTCTTTGTGTTTGTAAGTACAAGATACAAAGAGGCAGCCAACCTGACCATCTCGAAGAAAAACATTTTCAGCATATTTTTCAAAATATGCTCAGGAACTAAGGTAACTATGCACACAAAAGGAGCGACAACAGGAAACCCAGCAATCATTGCCAATGTTTTGTGCTTGTCAATAGTAACTCGCCATAGGGTGCTTTTTCAACATATTTTACACGAGAAAATAAAATACTAATATATTCATTAATGTGAATTGTGTAGCCTTAGAAAAATTATTTAATCCTCATCTATACAAGCAGAATAATAGCTGTGCTTACCTTACAGGTATATTGTGAAAATTAAATAAAATAAATAATATAAAGCCTTAATCTAGTGTATTATATATAGGAAACATTCAGATCACTTGGCTATCATTACCATCAGTGCTTTTAATTTAATGGACAATAATAAAGCTTGTGTTTTTACTGTATGTTTCTTTTCAAAATTTTTATTTATTACATTTAATTGTGTACATTACCATAACTCACAATATAGTTTCTCCAAAACATGTATTATGTTACCATGAAATCAAGGATATTATCATATACATCTTTTCTATCAGAGAATTTCACTTTCTTACATCTGTCAAGTCCTAACTCCCTAAGCCCCTCCTACCCACTCCTACTATCCACCCCTCTCCTCTATGGTAGCTGGTATCCACACTTGTCTTCCCTACCATTATATCTTCAGGTCTATCAGATTCTGTCATAGAGTACAGACATTTGGTTTCTATTGAGTGGGGTCATAGAGATGACTGTATTGAAAAGATGTGGTATATGTACACTATGGAATGTTACTCTGCCCTAAGAAACAATGAGACCCTGTTATATGATACATTGTGGATGAAGATTTAATGCTAAATGAAGTAAGCCAGACTATGAAAGACAAACACTATTGTCTATGTATCTAAATATCACTGTATTTACCTGAACAGAGGTAGCTAAAAAACTATAGAACCAAGAGTGGAGAATTAGGAGACCATCCATTTCCATAGGAATAGGCCAGAAGTCTAATATTGATTCAGTTTAAAAAGCAACAACAGATGAAAAAGTTTATATTACATTTTATCTATAAAGATTTGACAATGGGCCAGGTAATAAATGAAATATAATATATTCAGTAGATTTTTTTTTAAGTTTTCCCACTTATTTTTCCCATGAGAAAGTGAGAAAGAGACAGAAAACAAGAGAGAAAGGGACAGGTACTTCTAACAGGGTATCACACCAGTCCACCCCCAGATTCAGCTGGTGAGGATCACAGGCATGGTGCACACACCTGCCATGCACAGAGACACCTCTTGGGTATGCAGATGGAACAGCCCTATGTGGCTCTAACATGGACCTTTGTTTTACCACTGTGCACACATGGCTGCCTTACTAGATTGTTAAATAATTGACTCATAAAATATACCTAACAAGCCAGAGTTTGCGGGAGAGAGGAATTTGGTCTGCTGTAAAAATTAGAATACCAGGCTTCTATTTCCAAAAATGTGAAAAATCACACTTTAAAGGATTCCTCCTGGGTGCCAACAGATGCTATGGTGGTTAAAGATGCTGGACTTCCACACGCCCAACCATGGTTCAAGTCCTCGACCTGGTGGCTTCCTTTTTTACTTTTCCTCTCTCTCTCTCTGAAAATTGGAAAATAATTACAAATAAAGTTCAAATAAAATAATTCTTAAGAAAAATAGTCCTCCTAACATAAAGGAATTAGAGATTTAATAAAAACTAATTTGGGGGCTAGCAGATGGCATAGCAGTTACATCACTGGACCCCCACATGGCTGGCTATGGTTTGAGTCCCAGACCCTAGGCTTGAAAATCACTCCAGGCAAATGTGCATGCATGTCCAAGATGCTGGGAGGAAAATGGAGACAAAGGGATTGTGGCATGGTGATTTCTTTGGGAGGTGA